AGCGCCTGCATCACCAGGTGATACAGGCTGAGTCGATTCAGCAACCGATGGGATATCAGTTGCTGTAGTTTCTGCTTCGGCGTCCGCACAGAGACGTGCAGACGCGCTCTCGGCGGCCTTGCTCGCGCATCGCATGGGCTTGTTTACCATGCGATGAGATGTTGGAAAGTGGACGCGGACCAACAAGTGCAAACCCCGTCCCAAATGATTTGGGACGAGTATCCATTTAGTCAATCAGTCACTAAAGTGACTGATGGTTAAGGGGGGTGATGTAACGGGGTGAATCGTTACATAACAATTTATAAGAAATTGTTAATAGAATATAACTATAAGAGTTATATTCTCAGAATATTGTCATAAGGACAATATTCTGTAGCACTTCCAAGTAGTTCCTAATTGGTTGATATAGGCCATTATATCAACCAACGAAGACGCGCCACGACAGACGCACGCAATGAGTGGTGAGCAGATAACTGATTTACACATTTGTATTTAGACATAGTTAGATGAAGATAAATAGTGATTTATTGCAGACATTAACTATTATAAATACAGTTCTACTTTTTACTCTAACCGAGTACTCGCTTCTTCTTACCGTCTTCCTCTGCACGTACGAGTGTACGTGAAGTTACGAGGCACCGCCTTATTCTGTTATCAGAATAAGTAGCTTGTACTGTCACCAGTACAAGCTTCAGGGTGCCCCGTTACACACACTTAATCAAAGCCAATCCTATTAACTCCTTCGTTGAAAGCATAAATACGAGAACTCTGGCGAAACGTGCATGCAGCTGCTAATATCCAGCATTAAGGTCAGATTGTAGGGAATACTTGATAACCATAAGGTAGCGGTCGACATATTTTCAATCTTCGAGGTCTTTAGACTTGTAGCAATGTCAACTTACGGCTGCATCATCTTTGTGTGACTCTCGCCCTCAACTTCATCCGGATCTTAAATTGAGTATATAATCATTTTGGCGCATTGATTGTATTCTGCCTCGGCACCTGATTCAAAATGTGAATGTAAGGTGCGCTTCACGGGCTTAACATTATCCAAGCAGCCCTTCTTGAGCTCATTAAAGAGCTTTTGGTATCCTACAACCTTTCAGGGAGCTATTGTTTCAGACGGCGCGTGTATTTGTATGTTCGGAATGGGGCCGAGTATAACCTGGTGTTGGTAGTTCCTGCACGTTTTGCGCCTGGCGTGCCCTCGCGACCGAAGTGAATACCGAATAGACACCCTATTGAGACAAAGTGCGGTTCCTGTGGTCCTGTGAGTAGTTTGAACACCATATTTTCGAGAATCGTCATTTTAAGAGGGGACCTCACGCATATTTTTGAGGATTTTTTTATGTATCAGCTATTCCAACGGGATGTTGCATGTACTAGAGCTTTGGGTTTGGCTTGGCTGTTTGTCGCGAAGGATGGGGGTTTCTTGAGATTGTGAGGGAGTCAATTTTGGGTCCCCGTTTCTCTCGTCAATTATCTTATTTCTCACACCCTTGTACGGACTCGCTCACTCCCCCATTACTCCCAATTAAACTCCATCCAGTATTTTTAAGGTATATTTAAACCAGATTGTTACGTCTCGCCAGAAATATTATTTACGTTGTCAATCCGAAAATAACCCAAATGTCTATATAAAAGGATTTGTGCACATGAGCCATTATTCAATGCAATATGACTATTTTTTAATATTACAGCTGACGTAAAGATGACTGAATCTACTCGTAGCTGAATTGTGATGTAACGGGATAGCCCGTTACATGAAATTGACACCAAACGGTGTCAATTGGAGTATTGTCTAGCATGACAATATTCTACCAATATTATCTGAGATAGATACTATTGAAGGAGGATTATTCACTTTTGGATACCGTTTATGCGCTGCTTAAAGATTGGTTGATAAAAGACATATCAACCATAGATTGCCACCAATCGCTGCTAGCCGCGCGCAATGAGTGGTGAGCCGGTTGTCGTCATACGACGACGTCGTTTAATTTAGTTAGATAACGATTAAAGTTATATTGATATCTTAACCATATTAAATACAGTTCTCTTTTTACCTTACTTGATCGAGCCGTTCATGTAGATTAGCTTCCTCTGCACGTACTAGTGTACGTGAAGTTTCGTGGCACCATAAACAAAGGGTGCCCCGTTACACCTGGTAGCACTTCGTAGTCCGTCCAACAACTACTCAGTGTCCGCCCAACATGAACATGTTGGACGTAGAAGACGACATCTTTCACGTCACACGTGAAGGCTACTCCTATCTGAGTGACTCAGAATGGAAGATAGTTGGCCGCGTGAGTGTGCTCATGGGCGAACCCGCCATCAGTGGCATGTTGAAGTCCTTAAGCAGAGACCAGCAACATGCTGCTATCAACAAGCTCCTACAAGGGGAACTTGCCGTCAAACGACTGAAGATAGACTTGCTACAGCAGCAAGGCTCTCATCAGTCGATGGGTGGGCCGACGCACATGCGTCGACCCGAAGCCTTGAATATATATATCTTAAGGTACAAGGGAACTGATGAAGGTTTCCTTTTGAGATGGTTCTTTGAGTTAGACCACGCCATCAGGGCCCTTCACATCGAGGGTGACGAGATGCAAGTCACCTTCGCCCTGTCAAATTTGACGGGACGAGCAAAGACTGGGCCTTAGGGCTTAAGCTTTCACGACTTAAACGTGGTTGAGTCGTTAAAGATCTTAGAGTCTCGGCTTAAAGAAATGTTTGACCAGCCGAGAGACGAGTCCAGAGTACCCTCTGCACTCTTGAGGCTAAAGCAAGGTAAGCGTGACGTGCGCACTTACTCACAGCAACTGCGCTACCTTGCGAGTAGCGTTACGAAAAACCATGTTGATGAGTACAAGCTCATCAACGTGTTCTTTTACGGCCTTGTGGATGGGCTAGTGAAGACCTACTTGTTCCGAGAGGACTTCCATACGTCGGAAAAGGCGATAGCGTATTCGGAACAAGAAGACTTCAGCCTGATACAGTCTCAGGATAGCTCGTTAAACTATCGTCCGACGAGACGACAGGAAACAGGAGGTCGCGAGCCAATGGACTTCTGTTACATCGAAAGCGAGAACTATCGCTCTCTGAGTCACAAGCGAACGGCAAGATGCCATTGCTGTCAGAATATTGGACACTACGCTCATGAGTGTAGTGTCCCGAGTACCGCAACACGTCCAAGGACAGGACGTGATGACCACCGTTGGCCAAGGAAGGGTACAAGGCGTGGGTCTGACCACGTCGCTAGACCGCGACAGCAAGTCGGACCGTCAAAAAACGGTAAGGATCAGCAGGAGCGGAGTACCCTGCTGATCCAGCAACTTCAAGAGAATTTGCAAGACTCTTGACAAAGATTGCTCCCAACACACAGTCGCTGTGGGTTACTGCCTCTAGTTATGAAGAGTCTCTCATCACTTTGAAGATCGAAGTGACAAGTGGAATGTCACTTCGCGCCCTGGTTGACTGTGGGGCGTCGAACAGTTTTATTCGACGTCAGTCTCTCAGAGGTAGTAGACTGAACTATGTTAAGCGAGAGTTCCCTCCAACGAGGATAACGGTGTGCCTTGCTACAGGACCGTCCGTAACAGTGGACAAACGTGTACTGGAAATCCACTACACGCTAGAAGGAAAGCAGTACGATGATGACTTTATCGTACTGGATTTAAATATCAAATTTGATGTCATCCTCGGTCTGCCATGGCTTAGAAAATACCAGCCATGGGTTATCTGGCAGCATCGAACAGTAACGATGCCTGCCGTTTGTTCATCAGATGACCATCGAATGAACGTCTTGGAGCGTCCACAAGCGTGTGGATGTACTACGAGTGAGTGCGATGGCCTCACTTGTGGTACGTTAGTTAGTACGGCTGCACGAAACCTTAGTGTAACAAACAGTTACACTTCGGAGCAAAGTTCCGGCGGCTGTGAGGAAACACAGGCTGCGCCGAAGGTTCACCACTCGAAAAGATCGAGTGGACTGGAACAGGATACACACCAAGAAGGGTGTATCCGAGAAGTGAGATTAGTGTAGGTCAGGATAAACAACACGTCGAAGCAAGATCGACCATCAGAGAGTCGATAGTAGAGCAAGCCCGATCGACTTAAAGAGAGTCGATCGAAGAGGACGTGACCGTGATAGTACACGTAATGGAAGAAATTCCGGCGTTCCTGAGAGCAAAACCCCCCGAGAGAGTTGTGTTGAGGGTGTGGATTCCCAACCACCTGCGGATGTGTTTTCTCAGGAAATCACCGCGACAGTGAATGTCTTGGTGATTGACGGATCAAGTGCAGGCGCTTATACACTTGATCTGGTGACGCCCCCGAAGTCACTTCGGAGGTGTTCAAGCTGCCAACGCTAGAATCTAAAAGATTCTTGCGAGTCTGCGTAGTGACAAGATCTAGCAAATCTGCGTACTCGTCACAGAGAACGAGTACGTCGCCGATGTTCGGTCGGCATAAGTGTTTGCTGAAAACGAACGGGTTCTCAGTAGCTCATCGATGGAGGAGAGTGTCCTCGATGAGAATACTCGGATTGAGCGATACACGTCTCAATCTTGGGAGTCTTTGAAGACAAATCCCTCTTATAAGGATTTGGTGGAATTCAGGGATGTCTACCTGGATCCGTGCCATGCGAGATGCCCAAGGACAATGCACTCGGCATGAGATCGAACTGAAACCTGGTTCGAAATACTGTGTCATGAAGCAGTGGCATTTGACATGTGGACAGGTAAAAGCGATCGACAAATTCTTTGCGGATCGTTCAGCGGCTGGTCATGTGAGGGAATCAACATCCCCACACAGCTCTCCGATCTTCTGTGTGCGAAAGGCCACAGGAAGGTGGCGGATAGTGCACGCGTTCAACAAAATGAACGCTGCAACGGTACAGGCTCACACACCGATCCCAAGAAAGGATGTCATCATAGATGATACGGCAAAGAGTACCATCTTTTCATCCATGGAGTTTGATGGATGAATTCTATCAGATCCTCATGCGTGAGCGAGATATCCCTTACAAAGTAGTGAGCACCCCCAGCGGTATGCTCTGGGAGTGGATAGCGATGCCACAGGGGCTAAGTCACGCCCCCGCAACGTTTGACAGATGTGTTACGAATCTGTTGCGATCGGTGCGCGACTTCGCGCCGAGTTATTTCGACGATGTCTTCGTCCATAGCCGGGCTAGGGATGGAAAGACGGACGTGGAGGTTCATAGAATCCACGTCCGGAAGGTTCTTACTCTAGTGCGAGAGCATAAGGTGTTCGCAAACCTCAAGAAGTGTATATTCGAAGCGAACGAAATACCACTTCTCGGTTGCATCGTGGGTAAAAACGGTGTACGCCCTGATCCGGAAAAGATCAAGGCGACTAGCGACTGGCCTGTGCCAGTCGACGTCAAGGGACTTCGAAAGTTCCTTGGCTTGGCAGCGTATTTGCACAAACACTCGCGCATCTATGCCGAGATGACTGTACATCTCTCTCGTCTGCTAAAGAAAAACGAGAGGTGGTCATGGAGCACTGAGTGTCAGCACTCTTTTGATAGCATCAAGAAAAGCTTGGTGCAATCGCCTGTGTTGGCGATTGCAGACCAGGATAGACCCTTTCATGTGGTCTGTGGCGCCAGCGATTTTGTTATCCGCTGCGCGTTAATGCAGTACGACTCAGACGGCGTTGAGCGCGTCGCCTGATATCAATCGTGTCAGCTGCAAGCAGCTGAGAGAAATCACCCGGTGCATGACAAGGAACTTCTTGCCATGAAGTATGCAATGGCTAAGTTTCGGGTATATCTCTTAGGAGATAGACCCTTCATCGTTTATACTGACCATGCGTCGTTACGCACGGCCGTAAACAGTCCACACCTCTTGCAACGAATGGCGAGGTGGCTGTCTTTCTTCGCGGAGTACAACTTCTCCGTCGAGTGTAATCAGGACGACTTAATGTCGTCGCTGATGCTCTTTCTCGTCGGCCCGATTTGGAGCCGAACACCACAGTAGGGGTGATCCCACTGTCACGACACTACCAGTGAGTGTTCCTTCGTGGAATCTGCTTGATGACGTGCAAAAAACATACGCAGAAGATGAGTCTCTTCTTCGATTGATGGATTACGTATCCAATCCGTGCAGTCAAGCTTTGAAAAGCTTGTCGTCTCAATAACGCTCTTCGTCCTGACGGTATTCTGTCCGTGATGAACTACTGTACTATACAGCAGTCAACGGCGACACACCTCGTGTCGTCGTTCCGGATCATAATGATTTGTAACTGCGGTTCATGTATGAGTGTCGCGATGCCCCAACAAGTGGGCATTGCGGTAGAGAAAAGACTTACATCATGGTAAGTCGTGACTTCTACTGGCTCCGCCAGTATGAGTTTGTGCGCAAACACATTCGCGCTTGCGAAGTTTGTTAACGGATGTAGCCTATTCCTTCACCCCGCGCACCCTTACAGCCTCGTCCGATTCCGGCAGAGTGTTTACAGTCCGTACCGATGGACTTCGTCTTTGGGAAACCCAAAGACGCTCACAAGAATAGTGGTATTCTTGTGTTTGTTGATCGGTTAAGCAAGATGGTACATCTTGTTGCTGTACCGGAGTCAATCTCAGCCCAGGGCTGTGCGCGTGTCTTCATTGATACTATCTTCCGACCTCACGGGTTACCCCGTGACCTCGTGTTCGATTGGGACCCCTGCTTTACAGCTGAGTTCTGGCAATCTGTGTTCCGTTCACTTGGAACAAGTTTGACGATGTCAACTTCTGACCATCCAGAAACAAATGGTCAGACGGACGTCGTCAACCGCGTCCTTGAAGAGATACTTCGAGGGTACGTCCACTCGTTTACGAGCTGGAGTGAGTTCTTGCCGATGGCGGAATTCGCCATCAACAACTCGGTGCACGCGTCGACAACGCATACACCGTTCTTCGTGAATGGCCTACAACATCCTTGTTTACCCGCCTTCTTAGAGTGTGACTCTAGTTGAAGGGGGGGGGTGGATTCGCTCAAACACAAAAACCGATCTGTTTCTTGCTCACCACCCGTAGACAATGGTGTCGACGTGATGGATGCCGATGTCGATGCGATCGATATGAACGATGGTGATGCTGGTAAATTCAGCATCGCCAATGACTGCCACAGTGAGGAAGATGACGCCCTCACTGGTGAAGACAACTTTTTTCAAGCAGTGCACACGAAGCGCACGGTTGTTGACAAGGATGAACCAGCAGAGGAATTTTTGCTGACTCGCGAAGCGGTTGTCCGCTTCGTTCAAGACTCTATTGCAGATGCATTAGACAGACAGAAAAGCATTGCAGAAAGATATGGAAGAGCAAATGCTCTTTCATTTGATGAAGGAGACCTAGTTTTACTGTCTACAGTAAACTTACCAAAGCACGCAGTGACAAACGTGGGCAGCAGTAAATGACTGCCCAATTACATCGGTCCATTTCGTGTTTTGCGCCGAATGGGTAACGCATACACGATTGAACTGCCCCGTAAGATGCGTACGCATCCTACATTTTACGTTGGTCGTATCCGCCCGTACTATTAGTACGAGCCCGTTTTGAAATGCGAAGAACACCTCCACGGTCGAGAGCCGAGACCACATTCGAGTGGTCCAGTTTCAACGAACCAGTATGGTCGACTAGCGAAGCAACGTGTTCACGCAGTTTAGCGATGTCTCGACGAGCTACATCCAGCTCGTCACAAAGAGAACGAGACGAAAGTTCGTTCTCAAGTTGCGCGAACACAAACGCGGCACGATCGTCCAAACGATCTTGCACTAAGGAATTGTAATTATCCCTTACAAGATTCTCAAGATCATAACGCCGAGTCTATTCGTGAGCCAGGTCATCTTACAACTGTTGTGTTACATGGTTCAGCTCTTGAACATTAAGCTGATCCGACCCTCGATCCGGATCAGGTGTTCCCACCACCACCACATCCTTTGATGGACTCAGGCGGTGGTCAAAGCTTTTTAGAGGAGTGTATTTTGAACCACCGCGACGTGAATGGCGTCCGGACGAGTTACCTCGTCCGCTGGCGTGGCTATCCACCGGCGTGGGACAGCTGGAAGCCTCGTGCTCAGCTAATGCTTGATGTCCTTGGTCTCGTCGAGCAATATGACGAGACTAACTTGCTGCGTTCGAATCAGGGCCGTCGGAAAATGACCTCCCCGACCGCGAGTACAGGGATTGCAAGGTATCGTTTCCTTCGGCCATCTCAGAAGAGACGCGCGTATTCCAGTAGGGAACATTAGGGAGGGAGGCTTTCCGAGGGGCACGGTTCGAATTGTCCAGCCAACCTGGACACGAATCACCCCACGAGAGACATGGTAATCCTGACTCTCTGTACAGTTGGTGCAACTTGTATCGCGCCCCGACTTGGTTGCGTTTCTCAAACCTGATGCGAGCTGCATCAAATTTGGCGAGCCAGGCCTCACGGCCAATTCACTCGATGTCATGAATGAGGGAATTACATGCTTGCACCAAGGCTTTGCCGTCTCGAACACGGCTGCCATTGTACCAACGATGTTTGAAGAACGCATCAGTGAAGAACTCTTCCTCAGCACGGATAGTTTCCGTGCTGGAATCAGGAGGGCAAATCTTCCTGCAATCGAACAATAGGATTCGATCCCGTTCGTTAGTTATGCCGGCTAGCCGGTCCAACTCTCTAGATGAAGGCATCCACGGAAACTCTACTTGAGGAGCGTGGCGCAGGACGTTTTGGTCCCTGACCTCTTGATTGGTGCCAGCGTGAGCACTGACACCAGTGACGCCTCGATCCCTCGAGTTTCTTCGCTCGTGGTGATGCATAGGTGCGTCACCACCATCCTCACGCGTCCTGTGGTTGGATGGACTTGTGTGAGGCTGAGATTCTTTGGAATAATCACTCGATCCGAAGATCTCGGACATGATGCTGCCGCGCTGACCAGAGCCAGTCAGCCTGGCTTTTGCAGCGTCCGCCCCGGGTGATCCCGAGGCGTGAGGAGTCGCCTTCGAGTCGGATGATGCAATTGACTCTCCAGAATAGATAAGCTCTATTCTAGAATCATCTGGATTACGATTCGAGGCACCCGCTGTAGACGCAACGGATGTACCTGTCGCACGTGGTGACTCACCACGTGGAGAATTCACGACAACATGCGACGAATCGCCTGCTGCTGAGGCGTAAGAGGCACTTTCCGTGGCCGCACGCATGCGTGCAGCCGCTCTTCTTGCTGCTGCAGTAGCAGCTCGCGTGGTTTTGGAAATTATGCGTTGGATAGGCAAATGAATGGTGATGACCGACAAGTGCTCCCTTTCCTCGGTGATCCAACGGTATTCACCCTGTCCCTATCAGCTCTATTCAACCAACGGGTGATTGATGGTTATGAGGGGGGGGTGATGTAACGGGGTAGTCCGTTACGTGAAATTGACACCAAACGGTGTCAATTGGAATAATGTCTAGCATGATAATTGTCTACCAATATTTTCCGAGATGGGTAGTATTGAAGGAATTTTATCCCCTTTTGGATAATGTTGATGCGCCTGTTAAAGATTGGTTGATGTAAGGCATAACAACCGTAGATTCCACCAATCGCTGCTAGACGCGCGCAATGAGTGGTGAGGAGGTTGTCGTCATACGACGGCGTAGTTTAATTTAGTTAAATAAAGATTAAAGTTATATTGATAGCTTAACCATTATTAAATTCAAGTCTCGTTTTACCTTTACTCGAACGAGTCGTTTCAGCAAATTAGCTTCCTCTGCACGTACAAGTGTACGTAAACTTTCGAGGTACCCAGACAAAGGGTGCCCCGTTACAGGAAAATATACATGTGCGGTATAGAATTTATATCCGGTAGCAGTAATTCTCCCTACGACGTCAATGTCATTTAACAATAGCCGATATAACGAACTATGAAGGCTTTGAGCGTACTTAATCAATAAGTTACTGTCTCGCTCCGTCGAATCGAATACCAATCCAACAACAGCATTTCTCCCGAGCCCACCTCCACGCCCATGTGTCAACCACTGTAAGTTGTCCACAGTGCGCATCCGCTTGTTTTGTGGTCATCTACTCACTATCAGTGACGTTTTGCTCTTGTTTCTATTCAACAGGCGCTGTTTCTTTGAAATGTCAAAACTAAGCCGAATTTAGACGACCCTCCAATTGCGTTACCAGACCGTATCGATAAAAATGCTTCGATTCTGCCAACGCATGTCATTCTCTGCACGAAAGTCGCGCTCAGGCTGCTTTTCGATCAGATCTTGTAGCCTGCCACATCTCCTTCAGCACCGCGTGAGGTCTTTCATGAGCCACATAACGTTCAATCTGGATGGTTCAAGAACTTGTACACGTCACATCACCACGATGCTTGCTACACGAAACTTCCATCAAAGACGGCAGAAGAGCAGCAAAACAACAACACCGTCGGAGTTTGCTCGATCGTCCCCTTTTTTCACGGCGTCGACCTCGAAAGCATGAGATGAGATCGTAGAGAGAGAGAGAGATAACAGAAGGTACTGCAGCTCCTATCGTTATACGTTGCTACAAAACGCAAGGAACACAATTCGGTCGCTCTTCCGCTCAATAGTTCGTTCGTCCAGTGCTGGGATCCTAAGATGTCGTACTAAGTGCGATTTAGTCTGTCGCCTCCTGTCTATGTGCATAACCGAGTTCTCGATAGGCGCTTACGGCACCCACCCATAGCCTCAAAGCCTCACGCGTGGGTGGGCTCTACCCACCCACACCCACTCATTCATTCATTTTTTAGCTTTAGCGAACCCACCCACGCCGATCCAAATTCTTTTGCCCAGTTAGCACCAGATTTACACTGTACATGTAAGCTTCTTCGAGCATCTCCACCATACGACTAAAAAAATTAAGTTATGACAAACACGGTGCTTAATAATATAAGCTTGCGACGTCGTGCCCATCCACGCCCGCACATAAAATGTTGGTCACACCCATGACCGTAAAAAGCATGGGTTTTGCTAGTCGTGTGTGTGTTTGTGATGCTTGGTTTGCATGTGCAAAGGTAGTTAGAAGTAAAGTAATATATGTTAAGCATTAAATACCTCCTTTGCCAACACTGCAACATGCACCACAAACTGCACTGCAACTTGGCCAAGTACCTTCCTAATGGTGTCCGTCTTTCCTCTTTACCTCGTACGTCGGTAACACATTGCAGACGCATCGTCTTGTGCGAACCGTCATGTTGTCAGGTCGCTGTCCCACCTGTCAAGTCATCGCCCTGTATCTCCCTGTATCTCCCTGTCCTATCTGTCCGATCGTCTCCTCGTGGTCCCACATGTCATCTGGTCTGACCACGACTAATCAGAATCAGGTGAGACCGTCACATGGTATATCCTTTGAACCTTAAAACTGCCAAACATGACAGTTTCCAACACTCCTCCTTGGTGTCAGTGTATCGAAGTAGCCCGTTTCATGATATTGACAACAAACGGTGTGAATAGGGAGATTGTCTAACGTGACAATTCCCTACCAATACTATCCGAGATGGGTAAAATTCAAGCACTGCTCAAAGGTTGGTTGATAAAGACATAACAACCTATCGCTGCTAGACGCGCGCATGAGTGGTGAGCAGGTTGTCGTTTTACGACAATCCAGATTATTTCAGTTTGATAAAAATTGGAGCTATATTGATAGCTTACCCATATAAAATAAAGTTCTCTTTTCACCTTAACTCAAATAGCGGTTTGAGAAGATTATCTCCCTCCGCACGTTCGAGTGCACGTGAAGATTTGTGGCACCCAAGGAAGAGGGTGTCCCGTCACAATAAGCGTGAAATGTACCTTAATCGACGTAATGAGTGCGATATGGCCTACAGTCATCCCTCTGTGGTAAAGCAAGTATTCGAAAATGATGGACTTAAGGTTCGATGAGCCAGACGGACATGGGACCTTGCAACTGGGAAAGGTACCGGAGACTTGAGGGTCACAGGTAAGGAGCAGCCGTTGTGTCTAATCGTGACTAGCGGTTAAGGTTACGGCTAACAGAGTCAAACTGACCGACGTTTCCAGATAAAAGTACCTATCTGGATCGTTCTCAACCACTCATCGGTCGGCTTGGTCGCCCAAGGTGTACCTTGGTTCCCCGTAGGCCGCCCTGGCCATCCATCGTTCGGCCTGGTCGCCCAAGGTGAGCATCGGTCACCTGTAAGCCGACCTATCCAACCAATCGGCCGACCTGGTCACCCTCAAGGTCTGAAGGCCCCTATCCACTCATCAATGCGAACCCAGGAGCAAGGCAAAAATAGAGTAAACGAGTTTAAAGGATAGGATAACAGTAAATACAACTCAATTTGCGATCCAAGTAGCACGACGTGTCGTGCGCTAAGAAAGGTGTAAGTCTACCGACCTGTTTCGAGGGATCAGTACTGCCCAACCGTCGAATCGACAGTTTTCAGTACGACACAAGCGTAAGTAGAACCCCAGTGTAACGGGGCACCCTGAAGCTTGTACTGGTGACAGTACAAGCTACTTATTCTGATGACAGAATAAGGCGGTGCCTCGGAACGTCACGTACACTCGTACGTGCAGAGGAAGACGGTAAGGAGAAGCAAGTACTTAGTTTAAGTAAAAAGTAGAACTGTATATATCATAGTTAATGTCTGTTAATAAATCACTATTTATCTTCATCTAACTATGTCTGAATACAAATGTGCATATCAACTATCTGCTCACCACTCATTGCGTGCGTCTGTCGTGGCGCGTCTTCGTTGGTTGATATAATGGCCTATATCAACCAATTAGGAACTACTCGTAAGTGCTGCAGAATATTTGTCCTTATGACAATATTCTGAGAATATAACTCTTATAGTTATATTCTATTAACAATTTCTTATAAATTGTTATGTAACGATTCACCCCGTTACATCACCCCCCTTAACCATCAGTCACTAAAGTGACTGATTGACTAAATGGATACTCGTCCCAAATCATTTGGGACAGGGTTTGCACTTGTTGGTCCGCGTCCACTTTCCAACATCTCATCGCATGGTAAACAAGACCATGCGATGCGCGAACAAGGCCGCCGAGAGCGCGTCTGCACGTCTCTGTGCGGACGCCGAAGCAGAAACTACAGCAACTGATGTCTCATCGGTTGCTGAAGCGACCCAGCCTGTGTCACATGGTGATGCAGGCGCTGGTCATGAAGACACTCGTGTCTTCACAGAGTACGAGCTCGGTGTCTCGTACTCTCCTGATACGGATGACGGATCCGTATCGACGGCAATTGAATCTAAGCCGCCTGCCAAGCGTGGCATGGACGATTCTTTGCGTCGTAGCATCTTTGGTTCATCTGATGAATCAGATGAACCATCGCCGAAGCGAAGGCGCTCGAGGTCGCGAGACTCGGGCGCTAACAGTGGTGTCGGTTCTCCTATTGACACCACTTCACAGCGAGGTGCCAGTACTTCTGTCGGCACGTCGCAGGAAGAGCGGGACCGCAATTTCTTGCGTCTCGCTCCAGAAAAGAAGGCTTGGATGCCTCCAAAATCCGTCATGGATCACTTGTCGGCGACGACGAGTGATCGTTATCGAACACGATTGTTCGATTCGTCAAGGATCCATCACCTTGACCCCAGCGCGAAAAACTATCGCGCTGAACATGAATTCTTCATCGATGCTTTCTTTAGACATCGATGGTACAGTGGGAATCATAAGCGTGATGGTCCCTCACTACTTCAGGCGTGGAACGCCTACATCCATAACCTCGAGGATGTAGGTCGTGACGCTTGGAATGACAAACTTATCAAAGCTCGTGATAAGTTTGAAAAGAGAACCCCGACAGGTGCACGCTACAAGCTGCATCGTCTGTCAAGGGAGAAAGGATTACCCTGCCTCTCTTGGGGAGACTCGTGCCCATGTTGTGTGAACAACTCTGCACGAGCACCTAAGGAGGCTTACCTCCTTACCAGCCCGTGGTGGCGCGTACGTGTCTCTACTGAGATGTACAAAGGGATTGACAACCTGAAATACCTTTACGACCGTGCCGGGAAGACTTTCTCCGGCGGTCCTTCTGCGGCACAGGATGTGCCGCGTCGTACTGCTCAACCAGACCCAGTAAGTCGATCATCAGTTGGGAGCGGGGCTCCCAAGAATCCCAGGACGGGGGATAACCGCGCCACCGGACGAGATAACTCGTCCGACGTCCGTTCACGTCGCGGTGGTTCAACAGCTGCTCAACTAGATAGCGCTGGCCACCGCGAGAGTCCTCCAATGGAGGTGGAGGAGGAGGGAAACGCTCCCCAAACTTTTGTGGGGGAGTATGTGTTCCCGAGAGCTTCTTTGATCGCGTAACGCAAGGGTTACGCGACGATCTCGAACATGAGCGGAATAGGCGTCTCCAAATGGCGGACACTGCCTCGAAGCATCGAGCTGAGTTTGCCTTTGCTCAGCTTGAGAACGAGAGATCTCTGACATCTCTTCGTGACGAGCTAAGGGTAGCTCGTGGGATTGCTGATCGGTCTCGGGATGAGATAGCTGCTCTTCAGACCCTTGTTGATGCCCACCATCGGGAGCACAAGGCTCTCTGCGAGATGCTTGAGCGCAAGGGCGTTCTTCATCGGAAGAAGCAGCGTACTGATGGTACGGCTTAAGCCGACCAACGTAAGAAGTGGGATGCGTTCGCATCTTACGTGGTAACTCGATCGTGTATGCATTGCCTAGGCGGTGCAATACACGAAATGGGCCGATGTACTTGGGTAGTAGTTTACTGCTACCCAAGTTAGTCACTACATGTTTTGGTAGATTAACCGTAGACAGTAGGACTAAGTCACCTTTATTAAATAAAAGAGTGTTTGCCCTTCCATTCTTATCAGCGTTTTGCTTTTGCTTATCCACCGCTTCGGCGATGGAGTCTTGCACAAAACGGACTACCGTTTCACGAGCCAGTATGAACTCATCTGATGACTCGTTAGCTTCAGTGTGCTGTGAGCGCACTGCAGCGACAACAACCTTTTCTTCAGTGAGGGCTTCCGCACTCTCACTGGCATCATCTTCTTCAGTGAGGGCTTCCGCACTCTCACTGGCATCATCTTCTTCGATATCGATGTTATCGATATCGGCATCAAACGCAATGAATTCTTCGTCAGAGCGTGATGAGCGTGAACCAATTCGGTTTTTGCTCGCGCGAGTCCCCCCCCTTAAACCAGAGTTACACTCTAGTAAGGTGGGTACACGCGGATGGCGCAAGCCATTCACGTAAAACGGTGTATGTGTCGTGGACGCATGCACCGAGTTGTTGATGGCAAACTCTACCATTGGCAAGAACTCACTCCAACTCTTAAAGGAGTGTACGTATCCTCGAAGTATCTCTTCAAGGACATGATTGGCACGTTCCGTCTGACCATCTGACTCTGGATGATAAGATGTAGACATCTTCAAGCGCGTTCCGAGTGATTTGAACACGGAACGCCAGAAATCAGCAGTGAATCGTGGATCTCTGTCTGATACGAGTTCACGGGGCAACCCATGAAGTCGGAAGATGGTGTCAATAAAGACACAAGCACAGCCACTTGCCGTGATTGTCTCTGGTACAGCCACAAGGTGTACCATTTTGCTGAATCTGTCAACAAATACGAGAATACCCGTATTCCCGCGTGCGTCTTTGGGTAACCCGAAGACGAAATCCATTTAGATGGATTCCCAGCACTCAGCCGGAACCGGTAGAGGCTGTAAAGGTGCACGCAGTGAAGGACTTGACTTCACTCGTTGGCAGACTTCGCATACGCGAACATACTTTCGCACAAACTGATACTGGCGGGGCCAGTAAAAGTCTCGACTTACCGTGAGATATGTTTTCTCTCGGCCACGATGTCCTCCAATAGGAGCATCGTGATACTCGAACATGATCCGCAAACGCAGATCAGTATCATCTGGAATGACAACACGTGGTGTGTCACCAGAAACGGCTCTATAATACAGTAAACCGTTACGAGTAGTGTATCGATCTGATGCAGATCGATACGCAGGCGACAATCGTTTCAACGATTCTCGGGATGGTTGGGAGAGATGTGTCAACAACTTCACTATCTCACCATCTTGGGCGTATGCCCGCCTCACATCATCATACAACGTTGTAGATGGGACTGAGGACGTCATAACCGCAACAGTGACTGTCTCACTGTTGGGTTTCGCGACTGTTTCAAAGTCGGGACGACGTGAGAGTGCATCAGCGACGACATTAAGTCGTCCTGGTTTGTACTCGACCGTAAAGTTGTATTCCGCAAAGAATGACAACCACCGCGCCATTCGTTGTGAAAGGTGCGGGCTGTTCACTGCCGTGCGTAATGACGCATGGTCAGTGTGAACAATGAAGGGTCTATCTCCTAATAGATAGACTCTGAACTTCGCGAGTGCATACTTCATGGAAAGGAGTTCCTTGTCATGCACTGGATAGTTCCGCTCAGCTGGTTGCAGCTGACGCGACTGATAGCAGACGACGCGTTCAACGCCTTCAAGGTCGTACTGCATTAATGCACAGCCGATTGCGAAATCGCTGGCATCACAGACCACATGAAATGGCCAGTCCTGATCGGCTATTGCTAGGACTGGGGATTGTATCAATCTATGCTTGATACAATCAAAGGAGCGCTGACATTCAGCGTTCCATAACCACCTCTCGTTTATTTTCAACAAACGAGAGAGGTGCACAGTCATCTCGGCGTAATTGCGTGAATACTTATGCATATACGCCGCTAGCCCAAGGAATTTTCGAAGACCTTTGACATCAACCGGCACAGGCCAGTCGGTGATCGTCTTGATCTTTTCGGGATCAGGACGTACACCGTTCTTACCAACGATGCACCCAAGAAGTGGTATTTCGCTTGCTGCAAATATACACTTCTTGAGGTTTGCATACAATTGATGCTTTCGCATGATTGTAAGAACCTGTCGGACGTGGTACCTGTGAACCTCAACGTCCGACTTTCCATCCATAGCCCGACTATGGATGAATACGTCATCGAAATAACTCGGCGCGAATTCTCGTACTGGTCTCAACAGATGTGATACACATCTGTTGAAAGTGGCAGGGGAATTACTAAGCCCTTGTGGCATTACTAGCCTTTCCAGAGCATGCCGCTAGGCGTCCTAACTGCGGTACAGGGTATATCCCGTTCTCGCATAAGGATTTGATAGAAGCCATCCATCAAATCCATGGACGAAAAGATGGTACTCTTTGACATACCATCAATGATTACGTCCTTCCTCGGTATCGGCGTCTGAGCCGGTACCGTTGCAGCGTTCAATTTGTTGAACGCGTGCACAATCCGCCACCCTCCTGTTGCTTTTCGCACACAGAAGGTCGGAGAGCTATGTGGGGAAGTTGATTCCCTCACATGGCCCGCAGCTAAACGATCGGCAAAGAACTTGTCGATCGCTGTGACCTGTTCACGAGGCAGTGGCCACTGCTTCATGACACAGTACTTCGAGCTTGGTTTAAGCTCGACCTCGTGTCGAATACCTTTATCCTTCGGTAATTCGCACGGAACAGTTTCAGGGAATACATCCTTGAATTCAACCAAATATCTTCGTAGAGAGGATTTGTCTTGAGCGATTCCCATGATTGGGAGTCATATCGCTCAATTCGTGTCTTTTCATCTAGGACACTCTCGTCCATAGATGAACTACTGAGAACTTTCTCGTTCTCAGTGAACACTGTTGCTGACCTTATGTCGGTTACACACTCGTCGTCAGCGACGAGTATGCAGATCTGCTTGACTTTGCCACTACGCAGATCACGCAAGAACCTTTTATGTTCGAGCGTTGGCAACTGAGTGATCTCCGAAGTTAACTTCGGAGGCGCAATCAGATCAAGTGTATAAGCGCCTACACTTGATCCGTTATTGACTATGACATTCAATGTCTCTGTCATTTCCTGGGGACTTATTCCCTCAAGCTTTGAAGGACTTATTCCTTCGGCTTCCCGGGGACTTATTCCCGCGGGTTTCGGGGAACTTATTTCCGCCGTAATTGTAATCTTGGGACTTATTCTCTTAACTTCCTCTAGCTGTGGTTGCGCAACCACAGCGATATCCTCTACGAAAGACTCTCCAGTCGATAAAGGATTATCGTTTCGCTTAACCTGAGCGATCGATTGTTTCTCTTCTAGATGTTCCCCGCTAGGGATACATCTTTGTCCCAGTCCACCCGACTTATTCGAGTGGTGGACCTTCGGCGCAGCCTGTGTTTCCTCACAGCCGCCGGAACTTTGCTCCGAAGTGTAACCGTTTGGTACACTAAGGTTTTGTGCAGTCGTACTAACGACCGTACCACAAGTGAGGCCATCGCACTCACTCGTAGTACATCCACACGCTTGTGGACGCTCCAAAACGTTCATCAGATGGCCATCTGATGAACAAGCGGCAGGCATCGTTACTGTCCGATGTTGCCAGTTTACTCGTGGTTCGTACCTTCTGAGCCACGGTATTCCAAGGATGACATCAAATTTGTCATCCAAATCCAATACGATAAAGTCATCGTCATATTGGGTATCTTCTAGCGTATAGTGGATCTTCACTATACGCTTCATGACGGTTACGGATGCGCCTGTCGCAAGACGTACCGTCATCCTCGTAGGAGGTGTGTCACATTCACTATATTTAAAGTGACCATTTTCTAGCGATTGGCGTTGCACAAAATTGTTGGACGACCCACAATCGACTAGAGCTCGAAGGGACAACTTATTCGTCACTTCGAGTTTCAAGGTAATGAGTGAGACCTCATTACCTAGAGCAGCAACGCACAATGTCTGTGTGTTGGGAGCAACCTTCATCAAGAGGCCTACAAATTCTCTTGACGTTGCTGGATCAGTAGGGTGCTCCGCGCCTACTGATCCTGTCCGTTTTTTGACGGTCCATCCCGTTGTTGCGTCTTTGCACCAACTGCGGACCCTCGTCCCTGCCCCTTTCTCATGGGTGGACGGTCACTACGCCCAGTGTCGCGAGACACTGGACGAGGGGCACTACACTCGCAAGCGTAGTGTCCTGTCTTCTGACATCTGTTGCATCTCTGCAACTTCTTGAGTCTGTAGAGCGAGCCTTCTCGCTCTCTACATAACAGAGTTCCATCGGCTCTGGACCTCCGTTGTCATATCGTCTCGGTTGACGATATGATGTCGAGCTGGCGCGAGCCTGTCTCATACTGAAGTCTTCCTGCTCCGCAATTGAAATGGCTTGTTCTAGTGAATCTAGTTCAAGCCGGAACAGGTGAGTCTTGACGGGACCATCCGCAAGACCCTGCATGAACACCGAAACCAACGTGTGTTCATCCACCGGATTGGAACTTATACAACTCGTGAGATGTCGTATTTGTTGCACGTAAGCGTGCACATCACGCTTACCTTGTCTGAGCTTCAAGAGTTCGGTTCGAGCTCTGAACTCAGCTCTAGGCGGTTCAAATGTTTGTCTGAGCCGCGACTTGAAGACTTCTAACGACCCCAAACGCATACGGGTGGTGCAACTTGAGCCCCAGTGCCCGAGTCTTGGCACGTCCTGCCAGATTTGACTGGGAAATGCAACTTGCATATCCCCGTCGTCGATGCGACGCGCCCTTATGGCGTGATCCAATTCGACGAACCATCTCAAGAGGGAGTCCT